TTAGTTGGATGAATTTTAATAACGTCAATCTCTACAAAACAAGGCAAGACTGAGACTTACCCGTAAGTGTGTCAAACAAATTTCCACCCCTTATTAGATCTTAGAATAATATATCCTTATTGATTCGCGACGCCATTCATATTTCTTGACGTGAAGGTGACACTTTACTCTGTCTTATGGTAGCATCTCTTGCCAAAACTGCTTCCTGAAGATTATACTTTTTTAATGTAGACTCTATACTCTGGCACACATGTTCACTCAAAACCTGCAGTGAGCTATACTGCGAAGTGCATGAGCAAATAATAATACCATGTTATTCTACTCATGTAGTCAGTCGCTTTTGCTCTCCTCAAAAGTTCAGTTATGGTACAGTAAGTGCTATAGACACTATCATGTCGGAGTCATTCGATTGCCAATGGCTTTAAGAATTTGAGGTGACATTTGTACTACTTACTATATAATTAAGTAGTGAGCTATTGCACTGAAAAATAAAGGAAAGAACTCCACAACGTAGCATTCTTAACTGTTCAGTTACCAAAACAGATGCCATATGTACACTTATTTTGGTTGGTGCGTATCATCTTTATAGATTTTCTTGGAGGGTATAAGGGTTTTTTGTGGATTTATATTGTGTTGTATGAGGAGATGCGTCTCATAGACATGTTCCGTAACTTATCTGACTTACTAGTATAAGGGTTGATTGGACCGAATTGATCAGTCTGTATTGGCATATGGCTCCTATGCGGATGCCCCAATATTGCCAGCAATCTGATTATGTTAAGGATGGATCGTGGCTAGCAGTGGAATTCAGGATGCGCATTTCGTCCTATTTGGGACTCGTCAGCTGGATGTACCTGCTTCCCAGTGACTGTTGTTCCCACCGAGATTCGGACTCGGGAGCGATCGCTCCAAACGCCAGCGCGTTATCCACTACACCACCGAGCCACGATAGCCACTTCTTGTGCGACGGGTCCCAAATAGGACAAAATGCGCATCCTGAATTCCACTGCTAGCCACGATCCATACTTAACATATCTGACTTACTTCCCAACCTTTTCCGTATTTCAGTATTCATTACATCTAGATAGTCACTACTGAATGTAAATTTTGAGTTCAGAATTATCTCCCTCCTCTATCAAGTTAGCATAGATTTTCACCCGATTAAAAAGAGTTTTGAATTCCTCATTTTTATAGATAGTTTAGTCTATATTTTAGATACTATTCAGTGAATAGGCTTTTATTGCTAACATCTTCATGAATCGCATGCAGAATTTTCCACTATTCCTTTGATTTGGGAAAGCCATCATGTCATGATCATATCGCACCTTATGCGACATCAATACGTATTTAGTTATGTTTACTTACTCCTATGGACCGAACTACATTGGAAGTACAAAGTGCGCTCGTTCCAAACGCATTTCAAAGTATTATTCTACTTGATTATCAACGCAGATCCAACGAACATATCTCGAAACTGTGATGTCACAAGAGAGTATTTCTTTTATCGCGACAATCGAATCCACTACATGAAGTACATGCTTACCAGGTAAAATATTAAATTTCTCAACAGAAGGAACCATATACATAGAAAAGATTGTATAAATAAATTTACTGAAATGAACATAACGTAATGGACATAATGACTGACTGAGAGCAATTTCGGATGAAGTGATTCAGTACGAGGAAGACAATAGATCATTATTACATTCACTGTGTTTCCTCTTTTAGTGCTCACACTACTCAGATAGATTTATCTTTTTCTGATGTCGTAGTATGTGATTTCCTGTTGTTAATTGGATCGAAATGACCGACTATTTCTGGCACATAGGCAATTTCGGTTTCGTAGTAATGATGGACATTGGTTAGGAGTGAAATTCACAGCATAGGTGCCCGTACTATTTGGGACGCATCAGACGGAAATGTCTGCATCCTAGTATAGTATTTTTCCGACATGAGACTAGAACACAGCACCCATCTCTTAGCATTATTACTCAATACACTAGTATTTTCTTTACATAATTTGGTTAAATGTGCACTTTCGATAACACCCGTGACATAAGTATTGTTTGTGCATGCCAATATAAATCTGTACCAAAACGGTGACGTACCCATTTGTTTATAAGTACACTATGATACTTTATCCAATGCGTTCTACTGTTTCCTCATACTGTTGAAGCCACCTACTGAATATGTTCAGAAATCCCCAGGAGATTCATAGTTAATTTGAGTGCTATTGAAATTCAAGCAATATGGCTAACATGCACTCAAATAAACATAAGATAGCATACTGTGGATATCAAGTGTTCACCCTTTGTTCTAAATAACTTACTGACTCACCCTCATTGCTAGCTTTTTAGTGTAAACTTTTACTTAATTAACGTTTGGTGGTACATTTTGCTCTTGTTTAAAGAAATCTTAGACTAGTTGTTATTGATCCTTCTTTTATTTTATCCCTAACAAATGCATAGGTCACATCGACTCAACGCCAAATATAAATTGCTTAGTGATGCCTAAATTGTCAAGATGATTCCTCCAGTCTGACTGTGTTAGTCAAGTCTACAATGTCAGTCACTAAAAGTGTTGCGATTCAGACTACTACACAGATATAGTTAAACCGGGGAGTAGGCATACAAGATTGCGTTAAGAATGTATTTCATGCTAAATCGATGAATCTGCTGAGGATTTTTGAACCCCTTTATGCTTTCATTCGTGTAAAATATAACTTACAAAGTCTGACTTTATCTTTTTGGGTACTACTTCAAACTTTCCATACATTGTTCGCTTTTGGGGTTCTAAGTAATTGTTTTTACGCCTGTTGCCCCAACTTCACAAATATCCCAGCATGGCTAAGGGTAGAATGGTCACGGTCACTCTCTCGAAATGCTTACACACAACTCGCTTTAATAGCCTTCGCTGGGAAATTTCTACTCACTGCATTCATGTGGTGTGAGGTGTCTCCAAAACAATGAAAGGATGAAAGCGAATCTTCTGCGTTATTGGTGTACACGGACGGTAACCCTAATGAAAGTTGAAAAAACGTCTCCAAACTAGTGGTGCACATGGACTATACAATCCAGAACGGAGAAATAGCATGCGGACATAATTTACTCACTGAAAACCATAAGAATGCAGCACCTCACTTTACTTCACTGTCAAAGACAACCATCTGCTTTGGTCTGGACGTCCGATAGGTCTCACACGCTACATACAAATTTCGATCCTGCGATGAACAATGAAGTACCCAAAGCCTTTACGTCAAACCTTGCTGAGACGAACATACTTCTCAATTATTCAAATTGTCTTTACATCAGTTATTTAACACATGAAATAAACTACCCCTTCTTTATCATTTTCAAATTTGTCCTTATATGTAATTGGTACGTAGCAACAAAAAGGTAGACAATAAAGGAGTTGTGTTCAAGTCGTGATCAGATCATGTTCAGGTCATGATTTATGCGTGCACTGACATGAGAACCTAATTGGAGAAGTTCGACCTCATACAAGAAATCGGATTGGTTCATTTATGGCTACACTTTCTGAGAGTTTTGTAAATAAATATATGTCATGTATTTGCCTAATAAAGGTTGTCGCTGTTCTTGTAGTCACAGGCCGTCTTTGTCCTTTGATTTTTCCCCGGCTCAGTGAAGCAGAAGGTACTGAGGGAGGTCAATCGTTAAGGTATTTGTTTGAGGTGTCTATTGAGTCTCAGTACCATAATACCCACGAGCGCAACCCCACCACTCGGTCACAACAGTAATTTGGCTTCACTCAGCTACTCTCCACTGACTAGAATTCTAGTCTACCTACATAGTCTTGAGTCGCTAAACGCTTGATTTCAAAAATGTCCTTCAGTGCAACATCTTATGCAGCTATTCTGACACACAACACTCACCGTTTAAGCTGATCATCTTCTACGTATATGCTTGGACTGTCTGGAGACCGAATCCAATCAAGGATGAGTCATACCACCAACCTACCAGATGCACTTGACAGATATCTTAGTGCCAGCTAGGGACTTGAATGCACAGGTCAAACTTTTGGATCCCAAGTAGGGTCGTATAGGCGGCGCATGGGGATTAGTTGGTCGCAGACCAGATGACAAGGAATTTCTTCAGTAGCGCTGCATAGGTAACGACCTGCCTCTAGCCAGCACCAACACAGCCATCGCTGTTGTGCTACCTGGCGTCTTCTCTCTCTCGCTAAAGCTTGGACTCAGATTATATGCACTGTTACTGATGGAATGGATGTATTCAAGACTGTTGTTCCTTCTTGAGCATCTATTTAAATATCACGACTTGGAGTAGGCTAGGTCCACTTAGCATTTCGGTGCTCATCCGAAACGCGTGAACGTAAGCGAACTGGCTACACTTAGCATTACAACTAAGTTAAATATAAGGTAAGGTGTCAAACCTCCAGGAATTAAAGATGAGCATTGATTACACTTAAAGGACACCACTAAACAGCTAGTAAAGTTGCTTGTAGTTTTGGAAAACGTCCCGTTGAAAAACGCATCTCTGAGACAACAAAAGCGAAATCTCGGACTTCAGAACCAACAAGAACACTATTACTGTGAAAAAATGAGGGAAATTGCTCCATAACTCTAACATAAAACTCATGCATACAAATGAGTGAGTGACAAATGCAGTACACTAAAGTAGACCTAAATTACCTTTAACTACTCGCCAATAGATCAATCAGAGTTGTCTTTAGGGCAGAAAAAGATCCAATTCTGTCAACCACCATAATCCCTTAGTACTTTTAAGTTCATGCTTGACCGGTTAGTGATAACTTTAGTGCTAAAAACGATACCACAAACTCATTGTCAAATACCCCATCTATGGTAGCTGTGATTTGTCGTCAGTAACTAATCAATTTAAGCTAATGCGTGCCAAAATAATTCACTAATTTATGGAAACTTTGAGTGGGTCTCCTATTCAGTCAATGCTTCAATACATTTAGCTACTAAAAAGGTGCATAACTCAAGCAGAACGCATTATTTTAATGGTCATCTTCTTTTTATTACAGAAAAGCTAGTTGAAACAAGAAATTACACCTGGATAGAAATACAAATGCATAGAACGAGTGTACAATTTCCATCATAGACTGTAACAATTCAGACATGATATGATTAATATTCTAACAAAAAAATACTCCTAAGGTAGAAATGTCGATCTACGAAAGAAAAATGAAAGAATGTGTGGCTGAATACAGCATAATTACCGTACAACATGTCCATATTATATCACTCTGGATCAGGCAGCTTGCAGTCGTTGTTATCCTCCCAGCCATAACGCCATCGTTCCAATACTCGACTACAGTCGAATAATGGTTTACCAAGTTTCTTATTTACTAAATTATGCTGTAAACACAACCATCCACTTAGAGTATTTCTATCCTGAAGCTTTGGTGGATGTAAGATCATGTCTATATAAACAGAGCAAAGCCGAATAAAAGGAGAAAGGAAAATTGATGAATAACTCCAGGGTTTATACATAATTAAGCATAAAGTAAATAAAGTGCAGGTGTATTACAATCTTCACCCAACTATCAAATCACACATGCAAAGTTTGAATTCCCCTAACATTTACTATGGAAATCCTCAGACAACTAACAGCCACACCCAGGTTATTACGCGATAACAACAACCAACTAAAGAACGAAGAGTATTTATCCATGAAATAATTCGATTTATTCTACCAGATTACTTGTGCTTCTGTTTAATTAAAGTATATGGAACCAAATACATTCATCATATAAGAAACACTTTGAAATATCTGCAATTCAAACGATGTATGTACTAACGAATCTGCACTGTGTACTGGAACAAAGGGGTAGAACTTTCGATGATATTTCTAACAAGTGATTTATTCTAATTAGCTTGAACTTGACTCAAAGAGGCTAAAGGTGTGGCTTGCTGGCTTAAGCACACGACTTTCAACCAACGGGTTCCCAGTTTGAACTTCAGCTTGGTTAATCAGGCACTGTCATAAGCTGGCAAACACTAAGTGTGACTAATAGCACGTGCAACGAGTCAAGTTGCCATTTATTCGGTAGAGTAAATCCTTATGAGGTCTTTCCAGTAAACTATCCAAATTTAAATAGCGATTCCAACACAAAATATGAACTACCTACTGACCAACCAAAGGAATAAATAGCATGCAGACTTACTGGATTCAAAATCATAAGCACATGGTCGACATGGAAAGAACTGAGTGAAAGTAAGCAGAAATGTTTTCATATCTTCCTGTTGCTTCGGTGTCGGATGCAACGGATAGTATGCTGCCATAGTATGCAGTAAAGTCCATGAAGATCTCCCAAGTTCAACCTTATCTGGTGGACATTCTGAAAATAAAAACACAGTAATATCGAGTAGGTAACTGATTGCTGTTATGACCTATGTGTAACACTACAACCTGATATCTAAAGTGATATTCATAAACGTTGAAAAAAAATTTTTATTAGAAAGATGGTTGGCATGACTCAACAAACCAAAAGAAAAACTGATTTTAGAAACCCGTTAGAATGACAAAATCAACGTAGAACCTTGCAAAGAAGTGCATTATTTCAAGCTGCCACACTTGACAGTAGCATACAAAAACCAGGGAGACAAAGAAATACTGGTATCAAAGTATACAGAGTATGAGAGAAGTAATTAGAAAATTAATTAATGAAAATGTTCAAGCTGTAAAAGATGTCAAAGAGTGTATGCATCTACATTGTGTCCGGTCTTCAGCCATTTCACTGCCTCCAACCATTGACTATCTTGACAACCCCAACAAGGTGGTCTACACCTCTCTACAAGCCTCAGACCAACAGTGAGAGACTTCATGGACTGGTGTCACGTCTTGGTCTGGCCACTCTCAGTCTTCTTCCAACCCAATTCAATTTCGGCTAGCATCGCACGTTGAGATAGGCGGTGGCTCAGCAAGCGCAGCACATGGTCTAAGCCACCTTAGTCAGTGGAGGTTCACAAACTCATCAACTGACTTGTCTACTTGGCAGCCGGGAAGCGTCAACTGCCCCACCCTTCCAGTAGTACACAAGACCCAATCGAAAGCTATCCTCTTCAACTTTGTCTCTTATGCCTTTACTTCGTGATACTTATATTAATACTCTTACACCTTCCCTAACCTCTCACATTGAGACCATCGTCAATGACCAACGCCATCGAAACCCCATTCCTGTTCCCTCAAGACACCACCGTCGGTTTCAAATAGGAGCTTTCAAAGTCCGAACTCTATGCCAAAGCATCACTCGCCAGAACTCTGGAATCTCAACCCATAGGTGTATGCTGTATATTTGAGACACGTATACAGGATTCGAATGTGCTCATTAAATTGACCTCACCTGGCCAAAGCAGCGAATCTTCAAAATTCATGTTGCAAGTATCCGGAGACTAAATGGTTAGCTCTCATGGGCTCGTTGGTGTAAACATAGCATTGAGTTGTAGAGCAGAAAGTGCACTTCTCGACTAGATACCAGTCAACAACCGATTCTGTGCTGTTTGCCTGAATGGATCTCTGAGGAAAGATTAAGAAGTATCGTGAGATCAACCAATGCCTATTCGTTATCTCCGCTACACACCCACTGACTGCACTTTAGATAATGCAAAGCATGAGTTCTATGAAAAGCTGTCAACTTTGCCACAGAAAGCGAAAGGTTCACATGTATTCATAATGGCAGGTGACTTTAACGTTTATGCAGGGAAACTGAGTCAATTAAGGCATCTGGAAGGTATTTATGGAATCTCACGCCAACGAACCAACAACGGTGATCATTTGTTGCAACTTAGCTCAGACAATCACTTGTTTCTGTCATACGACATACGGAGAAACACTGTCTCGCATGACGTCCACTGATATCAAACCAGTGATGGACAGACGGATCAAATTACTATAAGCAATCGTCAGAGAGAATCGGCGGAGGGTTGCCGCTCCTTCTGGAGTACTAGTTTGGATTGCGATTACGCGCCAGTACAGTTTCGTGTATGTCTACGCTATACTGGCAGCAGGAAACAGGCGATAGTAAGGCCTGTTACTGGTTGATTGCAGGATGAGAATGTTAAGTACGTACTTAAGGAAGAATTAGCTAAGCATTTACCTGAATATGACAGCAATACTTATCCTGAGGAAACGTGGCGTGATATTAAGTCTGTGGTAGAAAAAGCGGTATATACAGTTGGTAACCTACACCCAAAAGTTAGCAAACGTCATTAAATTTCTGCAACATCATCCGAACTGATTGATGCAAGAAGACTGATTCCAATTGGCTCTGACCGCAATGAGTAGAGAAAAAAACTTAAATATAAATTGAGTAAGAATCTTTGCAATGGTCACGAGCAGTGGTGCGAGGCGAAAGCGAGAGAGATGGAGGCATCAACGATGAGTTTACTAAGGATACTGGCAAGAAGAAAACGATGGTTAATGAAGCTATCACCAAAAAGGATGGAACGCTGATAACCTCCCAGGACAGGCGGGTAGAACGTTGAGAGGAGCACTTTGAAGCACAATTCAACTGACCCCAGTAACGCTTTAGTTGCCCAACATCCAACCTGAACAGGACGTAGATGTAAGTCCTCAAACCCTCCTTGAAGTTGATAAGGCTGTGTCAAACCTGAACAGATGCAAGGCAGATGGATCTGACAGATTGTCAACTGAAGTTCACTTAAGGATGGAGGTAGGAAGTGGACTGTGAAAGGGGCACCGAGCAAGTATATAATGCTTATCAAAAATCACTAGTTAAACCCATGCGACCATGTAGGGCCAATGGAGAGTTGTCATGTGAATCGACGACAACTAGCGATATCCGCCAGCGATGCTCCCTGACCATTCCTGTCTAACTTCATCATAGAGTTTCTAGTAAACATAACCTTAAATACCTCTGACTTTGCAGGGATCCATCTACTCCATGGAGGTCACCAGGTTGACTTGGAGTTTGCAGACGACATTGCTCGGCTAGGTGACGATACCGACAAAATGCAGGCATTTAGTGGAAATCTGAGTTTGTTTGGCATGTGCTTTGGACTAGCCAAATGCAAGATGATGCTCCAAGACCGGTCTGCACATACTTCCAGTTTAATCATATGAAGTGAAGTAGCAAAATGCACTACCCACTTCACTTACTTGGGGAGTTGAATCAGCCCAAAACGGGCTGGTTACTGATGAAATATTAGCTCGGATACATAGGACGAGTTTGACATTTGCCTTACTTGCATCACTTTTAGCGCCATCATGATATCTGATTATTTATTGAAGAACGAGTATACTGCATTGCAGTTCGTTCTGTCCTGCTATACAGCTGAGACAGCCGTTGAAAGTTGAGCCGGTCACAGAATTTCGATCATAGGGGCCTTCGTATCAATGCCTGGACGATGAAACGAAACGCGCTCGGTTACCTTGTGCACATCCATGCAGTAGGTAATGAGCCAAGCTTAGTGTGTGAGGGCTAGTGATACTACCTGGCTGCCCAAACCTCCGAATATGGAGCGGTGCTCGAACCTGACGCAATGGTTGGTAGTCATCTCCCTAGACCAGTGTGCCACAGCACGTAGCATTGCTCACGCTTGGTAAAACCACCGTATGAGCACTGCTGAAGTCAGGCGAAGGGTACTAGGCAAGACAGGCAAGTCAGCCAACGAGGTTGTGAACCTTCATTGGCAGTGGTGGTTTCGGCATATATTGGGCATGCCGAGTCATTACCTACCATGATATGTCTGACAATTACACCTTGTTCCCCTAAAACATCGGAGCGATTTGGGCGACATATCGGAAAAGTATGAAAGCTAATGACAAACCTTATAACCGTGGAGTAGTGGTTTCTGTCCCAGGTAACCAAGCCTTAGGATAGATTCCCTGAAGAAGTCACCCCGTCACCAAATGGATAAGCATAAAGATCGTCTAGAAACTTGCTGGCATAAACCGACGAAATTGTATCCTCAAATCAAAAATAGAGGTAAATTAGAGTTACAAAAGAATAGGCTATTACTTGGGACTAAACACTAAAGGGTGAAATATACATTATGCCCTATATGGGGATGAGAAGAGATAGGGCTTGAAAGTAATGCATGTTAAGTTGTTTCGAGTTACGAGGACTTTTTAGTTTGATTTATGCAATAAATAAACTTTTAATTTTGGAAAAGTAACCATATTTGCCTGAGATTCTCAAAAGTATATCTAATGGTCGAAAACTATAATTCCTCACGTTGGAACCTGAGAAATGGATATCGTGAAATGTAATTAACTTGTAGAGGGAAATGTAATTTTCGATGTCTATAAATTAACTCAAAACAGTCAGGTAATTTAATTAGTAAAAGGTAACAAGTCTACTGACGAAAAGGTTCATGCTCACTGAAGTTGCTGTCTCCGTAATGTCAATTAGTCAAGGGCGAAAATAAGGTGCATCAGCATTCATCGGGTCTCAAATAACTGAAAGGCATGCATTCAATTACGGACACCACAAAATACGTCTTCAGTCTGCCCTCTAGAACGAAGTTACGAAACCAATCGTCTGACCCAAATACCTAACCTCCGATCCTAACAAAAAAGCACGGTAAGAAATGATCACGGTTGGCATATGCTGTATTACTACGTAGATTACAACCTGGGGATTTCCCTGGAACTCTCAGAATATACCTGAAGTGATTCCCGGCTGAGATTGCTCACCAAAAGTCAGTGCAGGCAGTAAACTATATTACGCTAGTGATGCCTGAGGGAGCTTCAGAAATTTCAAATTGCTTCACAATCCCATAGCAATTTCTCCGATACATTAAAGTATCATTAAGAAACAACAATCAAAATAAGTTTTTAAAAGACATACCATTTTCTGGCTTTAATAGCGACTTTTTAGCACTAAAAAGGCCATACTTAGATATGTCAATACATGCACGGCAAAACCCTTTGCCTTTAGGATCATAAATATCTTCATCTTCATCCTCGGTAACCTCAACACGCTCACTCTTCCTAAACATGCTGCAGCGACCTTCACTTTAAACCCCGGTACCCAATATTTCCAATATCCAATATCTGCTTCACGAACTTGCGTAAACCTTTCTATTTCTTCATGCTCGCTCCTAGGTCTTGTGGGGGGTTTCAGGCCTTTGGTGGATTCCGATGCATCAGATCCAACAACTAGTCTTCTATAGATCTCATATACCCAACAGACAGTTGGGTGTTTGCCTGGGACTGCAGGGCAGTTGGGTTCTTCAAGTGTTGAGTTTCTCGACAGTTGTTGGGACCGCTCGTAAGAGAACGTTAGGATTCGTAAAGAGATAACCTTAAAAGACAAATATGTGTGAGTAAAAGACAAGAAAAAGTGAAATGATGGCGTAATCTGCATACACCCACGTGAGATGAGAGAGGTGTTAGGATATGTATATCTTAGGTTCAAATGGTTCAAATAGTCGTTGAAGGAATCGAAGAATCTTTTGCTTGGCTGGCTTCCGGATCTGAAATCCATGTATCACTACTTCTTGCGGTTGCTAACCTGTGTATAAGTAGACAGGCAGCAAAATTAGTGGTCAAAATGTGAAGATTCAGTCGGTTCCAAGCAGATCCCAGCCACAGCTCAAATAAGAGCCCGGCTGGTGTTTGAATGGTTTAGGCAAATTTCCCTGGACCACTGGCTGCAGCAAGAGCATGCCAGTGTTTATCAACCCCTGGAAAATCGAAATTTCACCTGACATCCAACCTGCTATTTACCGGGCTTTGTTTTAGTATGTGTCCTCTAAGATTAGTGCGAAGAAGGATACAAATCCAGCGTGACCAGTCGTCCTTCATGTATTTTAGACCTAGGTCCTAGAACAGATCTGTTCGGGCCCCTCTGGGTGCGTTCTAAGCCTAATTTGTTCTTCTGCAGAGAAGGCTAAAAGATGATGGCCCGAATTTCAGGTGAGGCCGCTTGAAGCCGTTGAAAATTTGATGGAAGCGTCCACGATTGAATTGTCTGGAAATTCATCTAAGGGTTACCAATGCCAAGTTCCCTCAAAATGTGTTTCTGTTACAGTTGGTATAGGATTTTATGTCTTGAGGGGCTAAAATGCCTAAATCCTTCCCCTTCAACGACGACTGAAGCTCCATGTCATTGAGGCTGTATACATGGCACGCATCATGTTTTACGTGAAACATCTCGCATTCTTCAGGACTGAATGCCAGCCCGTTATTGACCGCCTGGGTTTGAAGATGAGTCAAGTCTTCCTATAGAGAAACGCTGTCTCTCTGACCTGATTTCTCTGCATAGTTTCACGTTACAGGCAACAAGAGGGATTTCGGAAGAAACCGGTTGAGGCAAGCCGTTTGAAATAGGAAAGGCCGTAGTACCGAACCCTGGGGGACATCACTGAGGTGTTATGTTTCTTCGGGCATAGAGGAACTTACCCGAACCCTAAATGAACTGCCTCTCTGATATGAAGACAGCCAGCCAATGAGTAGTGGTCCTATCCCGATTAATTTCAACTTGTCAATAAGGCACTCTCGATTAACATAATCAGTCGCCTCAGCAACGTCTGGATAAATGACATCAACTCGACCCTTATGGCCGATTATACTAGTCCATCTGTCTACCACAGCGAGCAAACTAGTGAAACAGGAGTATCCGTTTCTAAATCCGTGTTGTTGAGACGTAAAGAAGTTGGTTGTCACAAGGTGATTCCTCAGTCCATCATAGATTAACCATTCCACTTCTTTGGATGAAGGCGTCACCGGTCTATATTGCTTCGGGTTGTTTCGCTGATCCCCTCTGAAGATTGGGGTTACGCAACCGGGCATTCAAGAACGGGATTCCTTCCCCTGACTTGGAGAACTCTTGAATATGTAGCCTAAAGCTTCAGACAATACTGATGCTTCCTCCCGCACTACCGGGGCATGGGTTTTATCTGGTCCTAGAGAGGCGCCTTTTGTGAGCAGTAGAAGTTTGCGCTGCACCAGCTTAGCTCCTAAGTCAACGACCAAGAGTCCTACTTCGCTAATGGGATATTCGTGAACTACTGGGTGGGTTGACGATGACGAAAAATTTGTAAGTACCGGTTGGCTAGAGGTTCAGATGCTTTAGTATCGTTACTGTCCAGTCCTTTTGTACCTAGTGGTTGAGAGACACGCCTCGGCTTCCCGGAACGATGCTGCATAGTGGGACAGACTTCTCGGGCTAAAGACAAACAAGCTTGTAAGCCTAGCTTGATGCCTGTGCCGAATGGCTCCCAGCGCCTTCATGCATGTGTTTCCTATCTGTTTGAATATTCTATGGGTTTTCCTAGTCCCAGTGCTTTCGTGTTCGACCCAGTGGTGTCGCTCCAACCTAGATCGTTTGCTAGCGTAGTTCCTTATTGCTTTGGGCAAGTTGGGGCAATGCGATGTTGAAAGCTGATCGGACTGGCTGGGTGTACGCTCGACTTTGTCAAATGTGAATCTCCCTTGGGTGTTCACAGCCCATCATTCACGACCAACTTCCCCGTCTATCTGTTCTAGCGCCATCTGAAGAGCCTGAGTGTTACGTCATCTGAAGTTCCAGCAACGCTCATTGAAGAGTCTGGTTAGATTGGCTTTGCAGGCATACTGGAAGCCGATAACAAAGTGGTCACTCCTCCCCAAAGCAGGAAGGATTGCTAGGTTGTCAATCAAGAATCCTTCATTCATGAAGATGCAGTCAAAGCGGGACGAGATTTGAGCCCCCCTCGATCGTTTTACCATTCTACGTTTTTTGTAAGCCTCAGCTCCTCAGTCAGATTGAAGGGTCGGGCTTCAATGGAACTGCCACTTCCGTCAAACGCATTACCTGTTAGGTTAAAGTCTGGTTGATTTAGGCCGCCTAAAATTAATGTATGCGTGTCTCAGTTTTAGACAGCAACTGATTGTCTCTGTCACCTGATCATCATGCTGTGTGCCAGCGAATGCTTTCCTATAAATGACATTCACCAAGCATTTTCCGGGCCTGGACAGCTTTATGGAGCACCAGATGGACTCTTTGAGGCATTTCACTCCTTGAATGTGAACTTGGTGAAGTGAGCGGGAGGAGCTAGTGCAAAGGGTCACCCTAACCCCTTACCGCCCATCTTGTCGTTGCCAGACAACTTGGTGTTAGCAACTGCCGGCCGCTGGTCTGGTGTGCCACGAGAAACCTACATTTCATTAACACCCTTTAAATGAGCATAAGCGTGTTTACCTAGTTCCCTCAGTTTACCGATGTTTTCGGCAAACTTTGTGCATTTGTGTAGATGCAATTTATGCCATCTGCTTGGAATGGACTTCCCAAGCTCTCTTCATTGTCCCGTCGGCTGACCAAAATCCTTAGGCGTAAAGTCTGGGAACGTGCTTAAATGATGCTCACTAGCGTAACATTACACGCCCCGGCACCGCTTTTTGCATCTTAGCAGTCTCCCAGAGGCACAAACATTTCCAAGTTTTTCTGTTTTCGTTGCAGACTCGTTCTGTGACCTATCAGGCTTCATATGAACTCCAAGTGTCAAGGGACTTCTATTCGCCAAGAATGCCTCCAGTGTGAATGTTGCCGTTTGAGAGGCTGAAAGGACCACTGTGATCAGCCCTGCTCTGTGCTCATCATATATCTCGGTCACTCGTGAGGTGTTATGTGTTATCATTTTCTGAAGGCTCATAATATTCTTGGGACACCTCCACTCGTGAGGGTGTAGTAAATGTCCTTGGGGCCTGCGTTTTCAGGTAGGCCTTGTATTATCAAGTTTCTTCTACTAAAATATGCCTCACGGTTGTAGCCCGAGAGTTTCCACACTGCAGCTGTCTCAGAGGGTGGTCTGTCTGGTAGCGCCCATAATTCTCCTTCAGCGTCGACAACGTGAGAGGTTAACAGCACATTCTCAAAGCTGCGTGAGTTGGGTAACTCTAAGAGTCGGGGCTTATCCTTAATTATCGAATCGGGACCGCTTGAGGGTCCAGTTTCGGGCTCCAGCTGAAGTTTTAGATATTGCCTGTGGAAATGGCATATGTTTGCATAATTCGTCATTCTAAATATATCATTATTATTATTTTCTGCGTATGCTTTCCTGCAGAACCCTATCGTTCTTATCCTGAAGGCTGTACGGGAGATCAAGGCTGTCTGTCGGGCTCATAGTGTTCGGGCTTATTCCTGGAAGCGGTCTGTTTTGTCAGCTATTGATGCCTGGGCGTTTTCTACTGGACTTTCATTTTTTCGCCGACTTTGCTGTTATTCATGGGTAGCTCATGTGCTGGTGTGGTAAGCTGGTGGGCAATTCAAACGTTCGATTTCCTCACCATCCCAGAGTTGGCCCTCCTCATCTCTACATCACCCTGCTGGAGCTTGTTTCAGTCCTCCACGCCTTCCCAGACCCGATGGGTTTGACTGGAGTTGAAAACTGACCGTTCTTATTTCGCACAACGGACGTTCAATCCCCACCTTCGGCTTCTTTGCCGTTCCACTTGGTGCCTCATCTGTTGACGATGAAGGCCTGCTGAACGATCTCGAGACAGCTGATGTCATCGCACTGCCGGAATGCATCGTGTTTTCTGTCAAACTGGTTACTTGCTCCGTCAGACGAACTTAGCCTCTTTTCCTTTAGTTGGTTTTTGGACTCCGAAGCCCTCGTGCTTTTGCGCTGCCTTCAAACTTTTCATCTTCTCCCTTTTCCGTTTATTGTCAGCCCCTTTTGTGTTTCCGTTAGCATGTTAATGTTATCAAGTACATTTTCCAGCTGAGGTGTATACAGGCGGCGACGCAAGCTGCCACCAAGCTTGCCGAGTTTAATGTACTGAGTTTTCGTTACGTCTGGGCAAGCGTGATCGAACCACGTGTCATACTGCATGCCCGCCCGAAGACATTGATGGCAGCCCTGCCCCCCGCCAAAATGCTATTTTTGCGACCATCGTGGCAAAAAGTATGGCAGAGGAAAAAACCAACACAAATGCCCTAGAAAACTTCAAAAGGAGCAAACACCTTAGCGCTGTCGGGATCGACGAAACTCGGAACCGAGGTTAGGCCTCGTTATCCTGTTGTGAACAGCAATGCATGAAAAGTTGAGTAGGCTTA